GTGTGTTAGCCTGTGCACAGAAAACACACTAACACACACACACACACACACACACACACACACACACACACAGACAATGTTATGACTTGTGTACCCCCACCAAAGCCTCCTTGGGTCACAGGTGGGGCTTTTTCAGAGATGGATGAATCTAGAGTGTATGAAGATGGAATTTACTCATGGTGCAATGGTAGGGTCAAGGCCACTAGGATTAAAGGTGTGAGTGCTACCCACCCTAAGTAGCCTGGGTGAGATATAAGGGACAGAAAGAGTTGCGGTCATCCTTTGTTGCTTTGCTACCTTCTGCTCACCATGAACTGTTTCTCCTCCACAATGCCTGCCTGCTAAGCCACCTTACCTTGGAGCCAGCCAATTATGGACTGAACCCTCTACAAACTGTGAGCTAAATAAACATTTCGTCCTTTAACCTGTGGATGGTGGGTATTTTTGTCTCAGCAAAGAGAGAAGTAACTAACACACATATACGCAAAGAAGCCGAGCCAAGTGTGATGGTGTAACTGGCAGGGCAAAATGGAACTTTATTTTTTAACTTATTGTTCTGTTTTTGAGACAGGGTCTCACTATGTAGGTTAAGATGGCTTTGAACTCACTATGTGGCCCCAGGCTGGCCTTAACTCCTGGTGATCTTCCTGCCTCTGCCTTTAGAGTGCTGGGATTACAGGAATTTGCCACCACATCTGGCCATAAAATGGAACTTTAAAGGTTAGAATTTTTTCCATTAGAGACAAGGAGTTGGCTAAACTTCCTCAGGCCAAGAGCTTGATTCCCTTTCCATGGGGAAGGGAGGGAGCAGAATAGGGATGGAAAAATAAATGTGAAGTTACCGGGCACAGTGGCCAACGCCTATAATTCCAGTGCCCTGGGAGGCTGAGGCAGAAGGGTCAAAAGTTCAAGCCCAGCCTGGGTAAATTAGGGACTTAAGGAGACCCTATATCAAAATAAAGGCTGGGTTCAATCCTCAATACAATGCCCCCCCCAAAAAAAAAATTGGAGTTGTCTGTTTTCTCATCATATTCCCTCTCCCATCTTTCTTATTATAAAAGCACCTTACACAGCTTACTATGAAAGGACACAGTGAGGTGATGATTTGTAGCAACATGAGGTCCCAACATCTCCTTTGGAGCTAGCTTTCAATAAGGACTTTTTTTTACCATGCCTCCTGTGTTTTTGTGAATCGGCAAGCAAATGGATTTGATAAAAGTGGTGATGATGATGCATGCCTGTACTACCAGAACTTAAAGGCCGAAGCACGAGGCTAGCCAGTCAAGGCTAGCCTAGACTATATAGTGAGACCCTATCTGAAATAAATAGATAAATAAACAAAACTCACCATAAGCCTAACAACAATATTCTTGGTACTTGTTATTAACATTCCGAGCTAACCTTCAACAAAGCTAGCAACCAAGAAATTATTATCACTGAAAATCAATCTGGTGAATGGGTACCGTAAAATTGATCTGTCAGAGTAGTGATTCTCAAGTATGTTCCTGAACCACATATCAGGAGCACCTGTGAAGTGTTACAAACATAACATTTTCAGGTCTCACCCTAGCACAGTAAGAAATAGGCAAGTTGCGGGAGCCACTTCCTTCTCTTCATTTAACTATAAACAACATCACCCTAATGATAATTTGTGTTTAAATTTAGGAGGTTGTAAGGCCCAAGGCTGCAGATCATTCACACCAGTGAGAAACAGAATGGGAGGCACCTAGCTATAGAGGTATCTGACCCTTTTAATACTGGAGGCTTGAGTTATTGGAGGTTACTCTTCCTCCTCTTTCGCTTTGCCCTTCTGTGGGTTCCTGCTGCTGTCCTCCCATGACCTGAAATACATGTAGCTACTTACTATTTACTACGAGGCAATACTTTACTTGTTGTGCCCAAGAACCTGGACTATTTTGGTGCCATTCAACTGTACCCACCCCAGACCTTCAGGATCAGAAACACTGTGTTTCTGGGGAAGCCTGTAATATTTAGTTTAAGTAGTGTCAAAGATAAATAATAATAATAAATAATAAAGCCAAGGCCACAGATTTAGCTTAGCAGCACCGTGCCTGCCTTGCAGGTGCAAGGTCCTGAGTTAGATCCCCTGTACCAAAAAACAAAAACAAAAAGAAGAAAAATAAAGCCAGATGTAAGTTTAAGAACCACTATACTTGTAGGACATATCCAAGGTCCAAAGTATAGACACTGGAAATTATCAATAAATTGACTACTGTGAGTTTTCTTTTTTTCTTTCCCTTCTCTTTCTCCTTTCCTTTTCCTCCTTCCCTCTCTCCCTTCTTTCCTTTCCTTTCCTTTCTTTTGTTTCCCTTTTCTGACAGGGTCTCTCTGTGTGGACCGGGATGACCTTGAGCTAGCTATGTAACTGTGATCTTCCTGCCTCAGCCTCCTAAGTGCTAAGGCCACAGGTGTGCACTACCATACCTGGCTTCCCATAAGTTTTCTTGTTCTGGTTTGGACTTTTGTTTTATTGGTTTCTTTTTTTGTTTTTTGTTTTTTTTTTTGTGGTACTGAAGATTGAACATAGGCCCTTTGCATTATATCCTCGGCCCTTTTCTATTTTTTAGTTTGAGACAAGATCTTGCTAAGTTTCATAGGCTGAACTCAGATTTATGATCCTCCCACTTCAGCTTCTCAGAATTCTGGGATCATAGGTGTGGGACATTACATTTGACTCTCATGAATTATGTTATGTCCATAATTTCCATTTTTTCTTTTTTTGTATTCAGGTGGAAAGGTTGTAACCTCTTCTGGATCTAGTGACTGACTGAAAATGTGATCTCTCCTAAAGGAGAATTTTGATTGTGGTTAGTTATTTCTTTAATACTACATATTAGGTCTGTTGATGACAGTTAAGTTTAT